TTTTTACATTGATCGATGATAATTCGATAATTAAATTAATGTGCAATAATATCCCATACAGCACGTCCAAATAAAATTACGTTTCTACAAGGGAGACACATGAGAAACAAAATATGTTAAAGTGAACCTAAGTGTTCATCTAGTTCTAACATATACATATGAGATACACGCAGGTTTATATTGATAGAATTTTGTGATACAGTGTTTACTAGTTGTATACCGTATGCACTCAAGATTCTAAAGAGTTTTTTGTAACGTAACAAATAATTATTAAAATGATGAAATCTGACGTCGATATATGAGACTACTCATACAATGTATAAATCATATATATGTGTGATACTTCGTATCATAGTTGTGCCTATAGTACACATCTTGTAAAAACGTGACGTATACACATAGTATAAAGATCTATATAGACACTTTGTAATAGTGTACTGTTGTGTCTACATTCTAGCATGAAATGAATTTGTGCGCACGCGCGGATAGCCTCAGCGTAGATACACAAGGATACACCGACCAAGTGTATCTTATGTGTCCTCTCTCCTTTCTAATTTCTAGCAGTGGTATGTGTTAGCGGCCATTATTGTTTTATCATTCGGAAGCTCTATATAAATGTTCTGTTTGTGTGTAGTATAAAAGAGATTTTAAGGTAAGCACAAGTTTTTAATTATTATTTCTTACATTGATATTCGGTAAGTTATTGTTAGATCAATATACAGATATGTTTAATATTCAATAATCAGTTTCATATAAAATTTAAGGGTGAGATTGTTAATCTGGAAATAAAATACAACAAAGTCCAACAGAGTGCTCGATGAATGAGTATGCTAACAAACCAACTGCTTGGAGGGAAAAGAGGAGAAAAAAATGACTAAACGAGGTCCACGAAATCGTGGCGATATACCAGTGTTTACCATTTTAGTATGTTGTTAAACTAGGTACTTATATTTTTAATACATTTTGATATAAATTCTGTTCTTTTACAGTGTTTTCTTACTTCTGGTTTCTGCAGTGTAAATAATTATTATTATTGTGTTATTTGCACTATTGCGTTCCATGATATAAAGAAATATAAGAATTTTATCTTTTAACCACTTACTTAAGAAAAATAGTACATTTAATACAAAACAAAAATGGAACAATTTTAAGGCTACTTCTCTTGAACTTACGATCGAGATACTTTTGGAAAATACAAAGTTTTGTCTTCCTAATTTTCGTTCTAAAAAGATATAATTGGTATCATTGAATAAATATTTCTTAAAAAGAACGAAAAGTTAGGCATCAAAACTTGTATTATTTCCTAAATTCGTTCATAAGAAGTTGTTTTATCTAGCACAATATGTATATACTAAGCAAAATACATACGTATACACGCGGTAGTCACAACTGCAATGTGTAAACAGAGTTTAAACGTAATACACAAGCACTGTGTATCCTACGGCACACTGTGTATCCCTTACTTTGTGTATACGTAAATGCTATACTGTGGCTACATTGTGAGGCGGACGTTTAACCTTTGTGCATACGTGTTGAACTACAATGTGTAAACGTAGCATATTTACATAGGGGGAATTGTGTCACCCTGTGTCTACATCTAATAATGTAAACACATCGTAAATGTGATTTGATGTGCTGTATGGGATATAAAATGCCATAATGACGTCAACATTTTATATTATCTGGTTGTTAAGTGAAAGAGAGAGTCCAGCAATCTAGGACGTAACGATGAATTATCGCTGATTAAAGTTGAGTATAATGTGTAACTGTTAACACAGTATTTACACCACAGATTATACACATTATAAACTTTGTTTTTTCTTTATTGTTTTTCGTGGTTCCAATTTTCGGCATCGGGCACTAGCTAGGTTACTAGTTTGCGCACATAGCACGCCCACTTATGGCCTCTAAAATTGTGCACAGCGCCTGACCGGCACAGTTATTAGAGATATATCGGAAAACCGAATAGCGTCATGCAGTATTTACGCGTACCTTATCATGGTTACGATATGCGCGAGTCAATTTTTAACGCAACACCCGCTAATAACGTTACCGCCTGACGTAATATGCGGATCAATTATACCAAGCTCTATTTCAAAATAACATTTAAAAATTGCTTAAATGGGCATGTGCGGGTATTTGACAACCGGGGCCGGCCGGCGAGATCTTTTATTTTAGGATATGTTTGAATAGTTTTGAATTATTACTTTAGTTTTATTAGGTAATTTGATATTTAAGTAGCTGGGATTAGTTTTAATTAAATAAGTATGGCCCAAAATATCGATTCCACCTCTTCCAATATTAAAGAACCTATACAGAGGCTTAGGTTTACAGCAGATGACGACTTAGCCTTTCTAAGAGAATTTGTTGCTTGTTGTCCTAAACCCACTAGCAGACGTTAAACAATAAAGCACTGGAAATAAGCATTTTAGCTCTTTAGTTTTAAAATACCTAATAAACAAAACAATTTCAAAGTTAGGTTAAGTTTAAATAGCGGACGCGACGCAAACAGAATTCTTTCCGATCCGATAACTATAAATGAAGAGAGTTAATACCACCTCACGTAAAGGAAATAACACCTGGCCTTATTAACGTCCATGCACGCTATTCGGTTTAGCGATATCTCTATATTACGCTGGTTATTGTTATTTTACGCGAGTTTATTTTTGCGCACAGGAAATTTTACTCGTTTGCACATCCTCATAAAAAACAATTTTCGTACCACGAATTAGGGATAATATTTTTATCTGTATACATATAGTATACCTAACCTGTGATTACACATTATGTGTATGCTGTGTTTTTATTATAATGTGTAACTGTTAATACAGTATTAAACATTAGTGTGAGCTTACATGCATCCTAACCAAACTAAACCACACTAATGTGTATACTGTATTAACTTCTTGGGGAACAGAATGGCAACACTGCCGACATTCCAAATGAGTACTAAGCTAAGCTGCCGACTCGTCCCGTCGCGTCGTCTCTTGACGAGCGAGCCGAGGTTGCCATATTTCAACCATAAAACTCTTGCCGCGAGTAATCAACAACTTAACAACCTGTATTTGAACAGACAGAGGTGGAGGAACGTTATAGCTGATTTGGGAAAGCCTAAAAATGTACAGCTCTTAGCGAATTAAAATATAAACAAATCTTTACTGGTATTTATTCATCCTGGGGGGCCTAGGATTGAGACCTAGGGGGAGGGGGGCTAGGGTACGAGTATTTGTTTTTTAAAAAATTAAGAATAGTAATTAATAGTATTAATAGAATCGTTTACATGAATATCTCTATCAATAAATTTGATAGACTTGGTTGTTTGATAACCTTGTTCCCTAAATGATCCCGTAGGATTACCTAAATACCTACAAATGTTGTAAAAAATAGTTGTAAAAAATAGAAATACACATTTTTTGAACAAAACAAAATAATACTAACTAACTAAACAAAACTAGAAAAAGTAATTTTCACTACATTACAATAAAATAAAAATTAATATTCAGCCAAGAGTCATAAATCAGGCAAAATTCAAGATTCCTCTGGAGGGTATCCAACGCTGTACCTGGGAGAGGGGGTAGCATCCCCCGACCCCCTTATAATTACACTTTGCAATGCTTAGTGGTATTTTTAGTGAATTTTTAGTAAAGACGCACAAAATACTTGGTTTGTTTAATAGAGACTTTCAATGTCTTGATTGAGGCAAGCGACCAGAAACAGTAAAACATATTTTCTGTAAATGTGAGGTGCTGGCTGGGCTGCAGGATATAGTAATAATATATAACAAAATATATTTATAATTAAGAAAAAAAAATAATATGGACAATTTAGAGTACTATTAAGGATTTTAAAAGTTGCTTAGGTAATTTTTTTACTTACTCAGTGACGATCTCGTACATGGACCAAAAATATTTCTAGAGAGGCTCTAACTGTCTAAACTAAAGGCAATAAGCTTTAAATCTGCAGTGTGGTACGGAGACAATAGTCAGGGGAACATTCCCAAATGATAGGTTTCAAAAGATTTATTACTTTTTATAGATTTTACTTGCGATGTAACAATACTAGCAAAACTAGTAAAATAATTACATAGAACTTAAAAAAATAAGAATCGGGAAAGCAATAATTAGAAAAGACGCGAGCACGACTAGACAGAAAATGATCAAATACATAATACTAGTTAACACAAAAAGCACAGCCCTTTTTTTATAATACAAGATATCTGTGATAAGGTTAAAAAAGTTACAGAATTCGAAACTGTTTGAAGAATAAATGACAATAAAAGAAAATATTTACGAAATAATGGAGATTTAGTAACAATGATAAAATAAGAAAGAGATCTAACAAAAATTGGAAACGGTAATTCGGAACATGTTTCACATATTTACAGGCGTAAGAGTTTTTATTAAGAGGGCTATTAATTATGTTTTAGGCTTGAGTATTGTTCCTATATACTCTAATTAACTATAAAATAATTTATAATGATAGTACAAATGACGGTATTCTATTTTTATTTGGGTTTTTGAATATTGATTGACTATTCGGTCTTAAAATTAATTTAAATTTTTTAATAAATGCCTCTCCTAGTTTCTTCAATTATGAAAGTCAACTATTTTTTGAGGATTTTTGATTATAAATCGTAATATTTTTTATAAATAGTTATAATAATACTTTCTCCAACAGGCAATCCCAATTACAGAACTAACTTTTAAAAAAAATCAGCTAATTTCCTTATCTCGTTGAATAGACCTATACTTACATACTTCTGACTATACTGTGTAAAAAAACAGCAATATAATTATTTAAATATTGAATTATTAGTGTAATATTAAAAATAATAATTTATTAATAAATATGGTTGTATTATGACAAAATTAGTATCATGTCTCAATAAACTTAATACTATACTAAAATAAATGACTTAGTTCTTAGTTTAAAATATGTATTAAAATAAATAAAATATAATCAAAAATATTCAGTCATATATTCAAAAATTGTTTTCTTACTGGCTGGCCTGGTACAAAGACAAAAGCTTTGCAACTAACCTCTAAAACCACTCGATATCACCACGAATCTACTAAATAACTCCCAACAGAAAAGTCGTTCGGCATTTATATAGCAGCTGACTACCTCAAGCTATATAATGCTGCGCAGTCATTTAATGGATAAATCCGAACGATTTTATAGCACGAGCAAAATAAAACTCTCTCCGTTCCATACTGGGTACAGTGGCTGTAAATGACATCGTTAAATAAGAAGTCGCGGTCGAACCGCCCGCGGCGACAGAAATTATTTTCAAGGAAAAAAATTAAGTAAACATACGCAGCGGGCGTGTTTCTCTCTCTAACTGGGCTCTGTAGCCTACTTGTAAAAAGTAGTAAGTCAAACAGCGGGATTATATTAAGGGACAAAAAACAGAGTCGACCTTGACTGGGAGAAACTAATACAAAAAACATATTATAGTCCGTCAGCTAGACATTTACAAAATAGGCACGAGGCGAAAATAACTTTTAACCCTTAAAATAGAACTAAAAGGAATGGCTAAAGTGACAATAAAGCCAGAAAAATTGAGGGAAAGCCAGAAAAATTTAGGGAGACTAAAGTTAATTAGAATATGAAAACTAAAAAATAACTAAAAATGTTACTCTGTTATAATCCAAATGGAAACTAACTTCTTAGTAGCTCTTATTGTAACCAAATTTGCTTAAACAGCAAAATAAAATAATATTTTGTGGGGTATACAGATTGTTAATTGGACGGTCACTTATTGGGGAACAGAATGGCAACAATGCCTACATTCCAAATGAGTACTAAGCTAAGCTGCCGACTCGCCCCGTCGCGACGAGCGGGCCGAGGTTGCCATATTTCAACCATAAAGCTCTTGCCGCGAGTAATAAACAAATTAACAACCTGTATATCGTAATACCCTTAGTCGAGGAATAATATACAAGGGTGGTTAATTAGCATATTTGGAAAAAGCATTTTTTTACGAATAATTTGGTACCATACACTTGGTATTTTGACTAAGTTATAACTATAACTTATAATGTAATATGATGGTAGACCACCCTATATATGATATTGTAATATGATGGTATAGACCACCCTGTATCTAATAAATTGTTGGTTTGTTACATATTTGGCAATAGGAAATTTGTTGCAACTATTGCATACATAGCAGAATCTATGACCCAGTCATCGGTCAATGCCTATAATTAACATTATTAATAAAGATACTGATTATAATAACTTTCGACTAACATCATAGAAAAGCTAACTTTTTTTTTTATTTAAATCATTTTAATGACTTAAGTCATGTTTCGAAAGCTGACTTAAGACTTAAATTTAAGTCATTTTCAAAATGATTTGTGATTTAAGTTTTTATTCCGAATTAAAAAAAAAATAAAAGTCATTAATAAAAGGCTTAAATCTTTTAGAAGATTTAAGTCATTTTAGAAAAGATTTAAGTCTTTTTAGAAATAATCTATGTCACAGTTTTCATATATTTTTACGGAAAATTTTTAACAGCAGCATTTTCTTTTGAACTATCAAGCGGCTGCCGGGCAGCAGATCAAAAACACCGACACTCGCTATCATAGGCATATTATATTCATAGAAAGCTCATAACAAGGCAAATGAAATAAAAAGTAATTATAAACAGGGTATTCCATTTAAAAAAAAATTAGTTTGGGTCATATTTGAAGAATATCCACTCCATATTTAAAGAACTCCCAGCGAAAATCTAGTTACGCCACTGAATTCTACATGGAAAACACTTTAAAACTCGGTTTTCATCTTTTCGTTAAGTTATAAGACATCGGAAATATGAAGGGAGTCGAAAAATGCAACAATTTCAAATTCGCCCTGTATTTCAGGAGGCCCTCTTAGGCCAGGAGAAATCTGTGTGTACCATCTTTAGTTTCAAAATATTTTGCACGGTAACGTGAAAAGCGCAATTTTGTACATCGAAAAACCCTGTAAAACACAGGAAAATGGGACACCCTGTGCAAAGTACTACAAAATTTAATTTTATATGTATCTATTCATCTGTTATGCTGTGTTTTTATGTTCTTGATGCGTAAATTTCTTTATTTTTTATTATTTGTAGTTGTTCTGAAAATAAATCGATTTATTTTATGTGGTTTTATTGTTGTATGTGTCTACAATAAATTGATACTATAATTAATAAGAAAATGGATATTACAAAGAAAACTAATATTAACATTTAAAAAATTGGTACTTAAATTGAATTCTGGTTGTCTTGACTTGAAGGTAATTATATTGATTTAAGTCATTTTACGTAAATCAATATAATTACCCTGACTTAACTTGAAGATAATAATGATTTGATTCAAAAATATAGACTTAAGTCATAAAAACGACTTAAATAACGTTAAATTGATTTAAGTATTTACAAACCAAAAACCAAACCAAAAATGGCCTGACTTGAAATAAAATGATTTAAGTCAAAGACTTAAGACTTAAATAATTTGAACTTTATGTTGAAACTGACTTAAGATTTAAATCATTTTGATTTTAGAAATGACCCAAGACTTAAAATTTAAGTCTTTTTAAAACTGACTTGTTGCAGCTCTGTTCTTGGTTTCAGTCTCTTTGCATCGACTTCTTCGTTTTTTGATTCCTTAACGTACTGATGATGATGGAAGGCAGTTACACTAGTGTAGCAGTTTACACTAGTATACACTGGTGTATACGGTTACGAGTTTGTTGATGGCTACGCCTACTATTTCAACCTTTATTGTAATAAAGAATGTTAAAATTGTAACAACGTAGATTAAATGCATAGTGACGAGCTAGTACCTCTCGGAGATGTGATGACCAAGTTTTTTAGATAGTTGACAACAGCTTCTTGCTAAGTTACTAAAACGTCTTGCTAAGTGTAATGTGGTACTATGGCAAAAATATACCGTCGAGGTCTCTGAAACCTCACGTTAACGATTATGCACCGAAAGTAAATATTGTTTTTGATGGTTTTCTCAAATTTGTAGTTATTCTAAGCATCTTTCGAATGGTATGCTCTCTAAATACCCAAGATTTGAAGAGTGGGCCTAAAATCTTCTTAATTAAAATTTGGCAGTATAAAATTTACCGAAAATGTTACGACTTAGATCATATACTTGAAGTCAAAGAGACGATTTGAGAAGATTCTGATTCGCACAGACTAAATTTGTCGAAAATTTGACATGAAATTTTATTTTCTATCTTCGTTTCCAACTGACCATCAATAAATGAACTTCTTTTGAAGTTCATTGGAATTGCGTATAACAATTAAAATAAATATATGGTACTAATGAATATAATTTACCGAGCCATAACGACTTATAAAATTATCTGAAAATACGAACAATCTGCTATTCGTATCTACCAGGGTTATGAAGAAAGGCTCATTATGGCTGTGTTGTACAAAAAGGTAGAATGCATCCAATGCTAAACAAACTGCATTTATTGTGTATCAGATAGATAATAGTTTTAAATTCTCTAGAATATATTTGTTGTGGTATGTTAATATAAAACGGTATGGTTTGTTATGTTAACATAAAATGGTATGGTATGGTATGTTAATGTAAAACAAAGACAAATACCTATATATATATATATATATATATATATATATATATATATATATATATATATATATATATATATATATATATATATATTTGGAACAACTAATTTATGCTAGGGAGCTACTACCAGAAATCAACAGAAGAATTAAGTTAGCATGGAGTACTTATGGAAGAAACTCAATTATATTCAAATCTAGAATGCCACTTTATCTAAAGAAGAAAACATTCGACCAATGTGTACTATCAGTCATGACCTATGCATGCGAAACCTGGATACTTAAAATGGATATAATAAGAAAACTGCAGGCCGCACAACGCTCAATGGAACGAAATATGCTTGAAATATTCAAGAAAGACCACAAAAGAATAGAGTGGATACGACAAAAGACCCAGGTATAGTAGATGTCATCCACAGAATCAAATTCCTCAAGTACCAATTGGCAGGACACCTGGCTAGAAGGATGAACAACAGATGAAATAAGAGACCGAGAAGAACCAAAGCGCAGATGGGACATGATATTAGGATAATAGCAAGAATAACTTGAACACCCGCATAACCAGCAATGGGCCCAACTGCAAAAAGATTATCTAAATATGTGAGAGAGGCTACACCATAATTGAAAATGGTTGAATAAGCTGAAAATGATGATGACGATATAGAAAAATGGGTAGTAGAGATATTTTCAAAGGTTTTAGCAAAAAAATGTTCCACTCTTCATATAAAATACACCTACATACAAATTTTACAATTTACTGTCTATATAAAAAAACAAATTAATTAAAAAGTTTTTAAACAACAAAACGATTGTTAAAATAGTAAATCTCTAAAAATCTGTCGCTAACTAGATTAATGTAACATAATATTGAATCACAGATGAGTTAACGAGCCTAATCCTTTCGGTCGAAGTTTAATTAAAATTTGTTTAAGCCAAAGCTAATAGGACAAAGTAGCTTGTTGGGATAATTACGTTACGTTACATGTATGAAATAAATCAGGTTGTGTTTTGATTTTATACCTGGTCGTTATTGATACAGAGTGTTCGTTTAGTTATAGTTTTTCACACAATTTATTAATTAAAGATTTTTTAGGATCTAATTTATAAAAACAAATCTGAATGTTTTAGGTTAAGAATACTTCCTGGAATTCCCGGTTCAACCATAAGCGGTTGAACCGTAATGCTTATTTATACAGGATGGTCTGAATTGTATTCGGGAAACTTCGGCAGCATATCCTGCAAATAAAAATAAGCAAAAAAAAAATCATATTTTATTATGATTATTGTATTGTTCCCAGTAATTACTGGGGAAGGCTGAATTGAAACAATTATATTTTATGCGACGTTTCGCGACATTATTGCCGCTTCTTCAGGCATTATTATAGGAGAAACACATTTTAATAATATAAGAAAAGTGTATACCTACTTGTGTACAGGGTGGCCAACTAAGAATGGACGCGGGCGTATCTCAGAAACTACTTA